AGGCGCTCTACCGACACCAGAGAAAAAAATTGCGGACGGTGTGAACGTTAAAGAAGAGCAGACTCACGTTCCGATCATAGAAGTCCTTTCGGTCTGCTCGATGGCCGACCAAGATGCACCCCCAGAGACGCAGGTAACTCTTAACCCTTTCGTGCACCCTGTCACCTGATAACATGACTAAAGCTGTCCACGGTAGTCAGCGCTGGGTCCCTGAAAGGGTTAATCGTATTGAGAATGCCACATTCACTTCATCCGTGGAAGGTCACAGTACACGGTCACTGCTCTGGGAAGTACGGATCAAACTAAAATTATTACAACCATGTGTGAAATTGGTATCACGTGACCGTGGCGGAGTTACCGGGTAGGTGACATTTAACTGAGTGAGTGTAGGGAACAACATTTCCCAACGGGAGCCATTTTATAAAACCGTTTCTCAGAGGACTTATTGGGTTGTTTTTTTTTTTTTAAATGTATGGCGCCGCATACTGCAAATGGCCTACGGGGTTGTCAGTTCCTCCACCTACTCCCAATTATAGGGAAACATTCCATTCATGCTAGTATGGCTGGCACAAAGCCCATGAGCAAAACACTATTTTTTTATTTTTTAGTTTAATATATACAACGTACACATACGCAAATCCTGTAGTCTACATCGAAACATGTTTGTTCAGAAAAAGCCGCTGTACGTTTTAAAGTAGAATACACGCACCTCATGTTCCAGAGTGAAACGAGCGTGATCGCTGCCGACGTGACACATTTGCTCGGGAAACAGGCGCCGGAGTAGTTCATTAAATTGGGAAGAACCGAGGCCGTTATTGGGTATTGCACGAGGTTCGGATACGGGCACGTCTGTTCATAAAAACACAAGTTCACAGCACCCGCTATATGTTTTGTGAGCCACAAAACCGAGGTGTTAATATGTTTTCACGGCATAGGATATGTCAACATATGTTGGTCACGTGTTACGCTTCGAAATATTGACTTAAGCAACTTGTGGCGAGGGGTGGGGGGGGGGGGAGGGGGGGGGGAATGTCAGAGTAGTTTTAGTGCAAAATATAAGAAGAAAGACTCGTTTTAATTGATTACACTTCACATTTTTGTCATTTTCATCGACATTTGTGTGGAGTTGGGTGTTATCAAGCTTCGGTCAACTCGGTCGAAGGGGAATGGCAAATGATGTACAACGTTGAGTCTTTCGAGAGATATTTTAAAAACAGAGCAGTGCACAGTCAGCTTGCATACGAAATGTTCAAGTTACGAAACGCCTCGACAGGAAAATATTGCCTCTTGTTACGGACGATAAAAATACAGTACGGGCTGCTCCTCGCGGCTCCGAGTTTCATGAACGCAACATACTTCTATCTGCTGTCCCATTGGCTACGACCGGCGTCTCTACTTCGAACATTTTCTAATTAAGAAATGTCTTCCAGAACCAATTAATTTCATAAGTAGAGGTATCACTGTATATGATGATTATTATTTATTTTTTAAAGCCATTTGTCATCCAGTTTTTAGCTAAACTTTACAATTGACACGGCCAACGTCGTTGGCCCGCATGATGCTAATTACTTTCTACGAGCAGGGGGCGGAAAAAAAAAAGAAGACATTTCTTTTCATCCTTCACTTACTTTTGATCTGCCAAACATCACTAAAGTAGTGACAAAATGTCCTTTCATAGTGCCCCCGCTGTCAAAAAACAAAACAAAACATCATTCGGCTATGGTACCAGATATCGTGAACCGCGATTGTTTGTCCCACTTTATCTAACATGTCAAGGTCACCTTAAGACAGATGGCCTTTTGTTTTGTTCCCAACGTGAAGCTGAAGTGAGTCTGCTGTTGCTCAGCGCAGGAGCGAATCTGTTCGAGTGGGATACGGCTGGTGATCAGCATCAAAAATAAATACAAAGATAACATTAATAATCTGAATAAGGATATGAAAAATCCTTCACTTTTATTCTTAGCCACTCTTAGGTCATGAGGTAAAACAACCAAAAGATGGCAGGATGCGCCATTTTAGATTTGAGAGCAACCCTGTCTGTGACTGCATGAAAACACACACACACACACACACACACACACACACACACACACACACACACACATATATACATATGTGTGCAGAGTTGTTTTGTTAAATTGAAGTGTTTGTTTGCCGTAAATGGGACAAAGTATAACTGAGATCTTGGATATGTGACGCGGTCACCGTGTAAGTGGCCGCTGAACAATATGGAAGTGCAGTCTGGTGAGTTGATGTCACTCATGGCTAAATACATAATTTGGTTATCAAAAGCCATTCCGAAATGTTTTGGTTACTTAATAGAATAAAACCACTCTTCAGGCAAAAGCAAACAATATTACCATCAGTCACTGTTCAACTCCATATTGACTGTAATGTATACATATTCCTGTTTTTATATTTTTTCATCCATTTGATGCTCACGCTCTCTTAAAAAAAAAAAAAAAAAAAAAAAAAAGATCAGCAGTTACTCAGTACTTGAGTACCTATTGGGAGGACTACTTTTTACTTGCGTAAGTCATATTCTAAACGAAAGGTACCAGATGTGTCCAAGTAAACAAGTAAAAATACTAGAGATAGAAATTTGGGGGATCTCCTGAACTGAAGTGTTGATTTTCCCAGCCTAGTTTTTAGTTTTACTCCTTACATTTTTACGCAAATATCTGCGGGTGCTATCTATTCCTTACATTAAAAATAAGCCCTCTTTTGTATTTCTTTTGAGATTTTGTTCTTTCCATTTTAAAAAGACCTATCTGGATTAGTAGCGCCAGGAACGCCGTCAATACTTTTGACAGCGTACTCTTTCCTTGAAATTTCTGGCTACTCAAACAACCTTTGACTTTAATAGCCAGAATGTAAAGAATGTCAAACCAGTTTGCACATCGTTGTCACACGACGACTGGCGTTGGTCATTGAACGCATCTCGGCACTAACTTTTCTCACTTCCACGCGAGATAATAGGAGCTCCTTGTTCATTTTGAACGCCACCGTTAGAAACCAGTGAATAAATAACACCGAAACTGCTCTTTTATTTTGGGATGGGAGAGGGGGGGGGTCATTTTCTAACCCTAAATACCGCATGTGCCTCGGGTGACTTGAAAAGCGTCGCCGAGATGCTTCCGTTTACGTTACCTGTGCTGCAACGCCACAAGTCCCAGGGTGAGCACCTGAGCCACCTCAAGCTGCGTGGGCCACTCTCCGGCCGCCACACAGCCGAATACCCCGCACTCCTCCCCGATACCGGACTCCTCGAACTCCATCTCGCCGCTGCCTGCTCACTCTCCGGTGCCGCCGCTGTTGGTAGTGTTGTTCCAAGTGGCCGAAAGGGGGATCTGCGCATGCGCAAAACTCTTAGCTCTAGCTCCCAGAACACGTGCAACAACAGGAGCGTTTCTTTCAAGACACGGTCGATTAAAACCCCATCAAAATTGCACAAAATCAGTTAGAGGTAAGAGCACGTTACGTGGAGGTCAACCGTTGTCTTAAAAGAATCACAAGTTGGCAGTTTTGTAACACGGGCGCCATTACTTAAACTTCAAAAGGTGTAATCAAGCATCGCGACGGGCTGTGAGATAAATTTGATAACAAATCACCTCTATCGAGCGAATCAATAGTGTTGAGCTGGCAGGTTGGCGGAATTGTCTCGCTGTGTCACTAAAAAGAAGAACATTGTGAAAGTTTCATAATGTAAGCCAAAAAAATTGGCCTCTTTTTGACATGCGTTAGAGGCGGGGCGTCTCCCCACCCATTTGACAAATGTCAGCTCTTGTGATTGGTCCAATTTAGTGATTGGCGAACTGTGATTGGCTGTCAGAGCATGTAAGAAACGCTCCATTTCCGGTTTCTGCCCTGCCTGGCGTGCACGCCTCCGGATCTCATCCTCACTTGACAACTTTTTTGCGTGGCTCACACTTTGTATTTGTTTTATTTGTCGTGTAGCTTCGCGGCGCGTCGAAAAGAAACATGACCTCAACACAAGGTACAGTACAATATTTTGGATTTTGCAACAATTAAAAAAAAAAAGACCAGATTACTGCCGGGAATGCAGTGAGGAAGGACCAGATGGAGGGCAAAGCGGCCATCGCCAATAAAACCACGAGCTGCGTGTTTGAACTGTTGCAGCAATCCGGTGAAAAAGCCACAAAAACGACATTCATACACACTGTCTGCTAGATTGACAACTGCAGGAAAAAAATTGCGTCTAAATGAGTAGTTCCAGCCAGTGCTCAAACGCCAGTGCAGTAAATCAAGAGATTTAATGGCAATAACTATTCTAAACTCAACTTTACTTCATTTAATGACAACAACCAAAGAAAACGTACTTTTTATCTCTATAAATTTATAGGTATATAAAAAGGATGATGCATGTTTTTTCAGTGATAATGTTTTGTTTTCTTGAAAAAAAACCAACTTTTTTTTGTGCACACTTTGGCTTAACTTCAACTTCTTTAAATGAATATAGTCCAATGAGTTGTAGTATCGTTTTCCAGTGCTATTTTGATTCAATATTTATAATTTCAACATTCAAAACGTACCTTATTTTTTGTGTATTACATCATGTTGGCGTTAAAATTATATTAACACAATAATTTTTACTCCCCATAGACCGTTTTTGGAAGTGACATTCTTTTGCCAGCTTTAGACAACCTAACTTGATACCATGTAAAGGATTATGATGAGTTATGTTAACTTTTTGCTGTTGAAAGTCCACACTCACGTTGTCATGTGCTGTTGCATTAGCCCGATTCTTGGGTCACTCGGCACGCCGCTTAAATTAATTGTCTAACTGTAACCCATCTGCAACTCATGAGACCATCAAATCTTGCACATGAGCACCTTGTGACTTGTAACGAAGCAGAACGTAAACGATGTTATCCACCCCCACTTGCCTCTCATTTAAGCATTTGACACTCCTTTTAATTTTTTTTTTTTGTGCCCGCCCCCAAATTTGTACAATGTTTGCCTCTCATTTAAGCATTTGACACTCCTTTTAATTATTTTTTATTTTTTTTGTGCCCGCCCCCAAATTTGTACAATGTCTTGCAGGCATCAAGACGGCCTTCGTGAGGCAGCACTCGGACACGGCGTTTGTGGCGGCGCACTGTGAGATGATTCCCATCGAATGGGTGTGTCGCAGGGTTGCCACTGGCTCTTTCCTGAAGAGGAACCCTGGTGTGAAAGAGGGCTACCGCTTCTCCCCACTGAAGATGGAGATGTTCTTCAAAGTGAGTCCGCGCTCAATTCAAAACACTTCCAGGTGCGCTTCTGTTCAAATTCCACAAGGAGCAAGAAGTGAAGTGCACATAAAACACACAGTTGTGTCACGTGCAAATAAGCAGTTGTTCACCCTGCCCCCACCCCTTCTACTGCTTGGCCAATGCTAAGTAGAGATTTTGTTACCATGATGACTAGGAGCAGTTAGGGTGTGGCTACTTGTTAAGCTCCAAGCTTGCACAAAGTGCAAAACACAGGTGAGCAAGGAGATCGTATTTTCAGTGGTGGAAGCAGTGTATATTTATCTAATTATTTTGCGGGGGTGGGTGGGTGGAGTTTGAGAAGAATGTTTTAAAACGAATATGTAAAATATTTCAATGCAAGGCATTGATCTGCAAATTAAAGACAATTATCCAGAAAATCAAAGGTTTCTTAAATTTTTTTTAATGTTATTAATCACCGAATAAATAAAAACATTTAAATGTAGCATGAATACACCCAAAGCAGTGATTGTATTTTCATTCAGGTCGGCAGCACTTCATGAAGCTACTAAATTGCAATTGTTAATTAGATTTTTTTGATGTGTCAGCAGAGACAAATATTTACAATTTTCACCAAGTGGTATGCGGTTACTACACTTTGACCCTTGTCATTTAAATTTTAATTTCATGTCAACATTTCTGCCCCACCCCCTTTATGTAATACAAATCTTACATTTTAGCATGTTTTGTATTATGCAAATATGACTGGGACAGTTGAATCAAATTTATTCCATGAGTGACACGCCTCCAGCCACGCTCGGGTCAAATCCTGAATTCACAGCTCGGATTCTGGCCCCCCAACGTGTATGGAATGAAGCAATACTGCTTGGCTTCTCCAGGACGACGCCAACAATGACCCGCAGTGGTCGGAGGAGCAGCTGCTGGAGGCCAAGTTTTGCCCCGCCGGCCTCGGCATCGGCCGCTGTGAGGTGGACATAATGAACCGCAGCACTGTGGCCATCTTTGAGATCCTCGAAAAGGCCTGGGCTACGCAGAACTGCACACTGGTTGATATGAAGGTGGGTGGGTCTGTCTGTCTGTGGGCATATGTGCATGATTTTTGAATGCTTGTGATGTAGGAGGGTTTTTTTTGGAGGGGGGGGGTTGTTTTTATGTTTAATTTTTGACAATTGTGAGTTTTAGTGGATTGGTGTGCATGTGAGATTTTTGGCTGTGTAATTTATTGAGGGAGGGGAGGTCTTTTTTGTTTTGCACTCTTGACAAAACCTAAAACAAACCATTTTACTTGCTCTAAAAACAGCTTTGAAAAATAAGTGACATTTTAAAAAGTCAAAATCAAAACTAAAATTGAAAAAAAGAAATCTCCAGAAATATAACTGGTGTGAGTGAGCGATTTGTTTTTGTGTGCGTGTGCGTGTGCGTTTGACATGCTGCCCCCTGCTGGCGAAGTACGGTTGGAATGATTCTGAAATGTTCTTTGTTTGGCTTCCAGATCGAGTTTGGCGTGAACGTGAAGACTCAGGAGATTGTTCTGGCCGATGTGATCGACAACGACTCGTGGAGGCTGTGGCCCGCCGGAGACAGAAGCCAGCAGAAAGATAAGCAGGTTTGTCTTGTTTTATTTATTTATTAATTTATCTTAACGAACTCATTGACTTGAGTTTGCTCTCCGCCCCAACAGGTTTACAGAGACCTGAAAGAGGTGACCCCTGAGGCCATGCAAATGGTTAAGAGAAACTTCGAGTGGGTCTCCGAAAGGGTCAAGGTGCGCCAAATCCTTTTTAGTCCTCACTTATCAGAAGAAGCATTTGAACTTTGTATCTTTTTAATCAATTTTGGTAGGTGGCATTCCAAATGAATCATGTTGAGTGAACTCCAAACTGCTTATGCATAAACAAATACATTTATTGGTGCAAGTCGGCCGTGCAAGCTGCCTCTTTGGGTAGCTGAAATTTGCAAGTTTTCAGTGTTTATAGGATGGTTGCTTTGGCACGCACATAACTGCCATCAAACGATCTATTTTTTTTTTTTTTTTTTGCCTTGAAAAATATTTACTTCTAAATATAGAAGTAAAGTATAGTAGGCTTAATTTTGAGGGCTAAATTAATGCCGCTAACTGTACCTTATGCTGCACCTGGCAAGCTGTTGCTGGAGTTCCAAGCCAATGGCAGGGTGGTGGTCCTGATGGGCTCCACGTCAGACATGGCCCACTGTGAGAAGATCAAGAAGGCCTGCAGCTCTTACGGGATTCCTTGCGTGCTGCGCGTCACCTCTGCGCACAAAGGCCCGGATGAGACTCTGCGCATTAAAGCGGAATACGAAGGTTGGTCCCTCAACACATTAGAGGAAAACCGATTTTACTCAGCTGATATTCGGTGTCTTGGAATTATTATTTTTAAAATCGATTGACAGATAGATCTGTCATCAGAATTTTCTCATATTTTTGCTATTTTACCAGGAGACGGCGTTCCCACAGTGTTTGTGGCGGTGGCTGGCCGGAGCAACGGCCTCGGTCCCGTGATGTCAGGTAACACGGCTTACCCTGTCATCAACTGTCCGCCCATCACGCCCGACTGGGGCTCCCAGGATGTGTGGTCCTCCCTTCGTATGCCAAGCGGTGAGTCCCACTTTTGATTTTATTCTGTTTTTTTTTTTTTGGTTTGTTTGTTTGTTTTTTAATTACAATTGATGAGATCATCCATTCAAAGTCTTTCTTTCTCTTTCGCTGCAGGTCTGGGCTGTTCGACCATCCTCTCCCCGGATGCAACCGCTCAGTTTGCGGCTCAGATCTTCGGTCTGACCAATCACCTGGTGTGGTGCAAGCTGAGGGCGTCCATGCTCAACACCTGGGTGGCCCTCAAGGTGGCCGACAAGAAGCTCCAGGCCTGCACCATCTGAGCTAATGTCACAGAAGCATCATCATCATCCTTTTGGGCTGATTAATCTCTTCTGATGAAGCAAATCTCTAACAAAATTAATCTTCCAACCATTCCATCACAAATAAATTGTTAATCTTTGTAACAAAATGTCTCTGATCTTTTATCATAGTGCAAACATTGTACAGTCTTACCACAACATGTGATTAATATTGTGTTTGTGGAATATGAAGTAAAGCAGCAAAATCCAACTGTTATTAGCTATCTCCCGGGGCAGCCATTTTGACTTGTCGAGTGAAAATGACATCACAGTGCCTAAGGGCTCAGGTAACAACCAATCATGGCTCACCTGTTTTCTTGGTTTGGTCATGTGATGCTAGATTGGCGGTGCATTTGTGGAAAATCGGATTTATCCGACTCTTGATTGTCCCAGTTCCGACCTCAAAGCGTTTGAGGCTGATTTTGATATATTTTTTGCTCGTTTTTCTGGTTCATCAAAACACATTTTGACCTCCAGCAAACCTTCATAATTAATATCTTCTCTTCAAAGCATTTTATTTGTTTCCCTAAATAACTTCATGCAAAGAGATAACGCCATATATTCCTTCAGTCAGGAGAAATGTGTTACGTGAAGTTATTTCGAATAAATAACGACAAAAAAGAGATGAATACATGTTTATAAATTTGTAAATTATCTTTCGGCATTTACGGTCTGTCTCCATGGGAATCTCCATTGTCGAGTGACACCAGATTGAAGCCTGTTAGTGGCGTCGGGGTCCTTTTCTTCTCGACTTTACAACTAATATAATGGTCAATGCAAACAGTCAAGTTCGGTCTTTGAGAGCCTCTCATTTCTCCATACAGGGATTCTAGCATGAAACATGCTCTGATAATTGTTCAGCGGAAACCCAATAGAAGTTGTCAGTAACCGTGGCAACGTAAGATGGCTACCCTCTGCATATACAGTATTTTTTTTATTTATTTTTATTCATTTTTATTTTTGCGTTTATATTTTGGCTTTGTGGTGAAGATATTCCGCTATTTTATTTGTTTTTATTTCCTTTTAAAAAAATGTTACTTACGTTGTTAATTAATTTATATTTTCCTGTACGTACGTATTTCAACAGAGTTATTTGGTCTCATCCAATTGCAGGCCTTCATTTCCACCACAAGAGGAAGCCGTTTCCCATGTTTTCTACACTTAACTTACACTTTCGGTCATTTGCAGTAGTTTACAGCCAAGGGAATGAGTTAGAATAACTTCATGCCACTTTTACTATCTATTAAGATATGTGTGTGTTTTTTTTATTCCAATATATCACAGCGCTGCAATCCTTTGCTGACAACAAACAATAATGGGTTAAATGACCTGTGATGTTCCAAAAATCCTGGTGCACGTGTGGGTGGAAGAGGTGGGAGGATAGCAGATGAGCGCCAAGAAGAAAAAGAGGAGGAGGAAGAGGCTGCCGGTTGAAATTGCAAATGCATAGCAGCAGTGGAGGAGGTAAGAGTGCCGTGATGTCATCACCGCAACGTGTGTTATGATGGGTCCGCGTCTCCTTGACGACCGTAACGTGGCAACAATGCCTCCATGTACAACGAGGCACATTTTCCCTCATCCTCATTTTATCTCTTTGCTTACTATTCAGTGGTTCCCCTCTTGCCCGCCATCGCCATGGATACCACAATGAGAGTAAATGAATCACCAGCGTGGTATCCCTCCTTTCGAATGACTTGTGAGTATGCAGTCAACAACAGCATTGCTGCACTGCTTACTGTGAGAGTGAACGAGGCAGACTTTAAAAAAAAAAAAAGAGCCTTTTAATCATATTTAAGTATCACTACGGAAGCTTATTTACAAAAAAAATATGATGTCATTGCTTTTTTTTGTACAAAATATGAGTGGATAAATAGAACACGCATGACTTTACATTTCCATCGAGCAGATAGGTGTCAATCATTTTGTTCTGTGAAATAATTTTTTTTCTTTCATACATACATATAACCTCTCCCAAATGGAGCTAAAGCAATAACAAATGCCATCAATTAGCGTTTTCATAGCCACATAATAATTCACACTGCTAAAACTGTTACTGTTGCCCTTGTCTGCAAGCCATTCTTTTCATAAAAAGATGACACTTTCCTACAAAGTAAAGATTTTAGCCGTTGCTGTTTTATTTTAAATGGTATTAAATTCATTCATATATACACAAAGCATATGCATTTTTTTTTTGTATTTTGTTCCATTACTGTACCAAATGTGAACCAAACCATAAACGTAAAACCATGGTAGCAACTCCTGATTTTTGACATCCTGATACACTCCTTGCAGTACATCTACAATGAATAAAAAAATCTACACACCCCTATTCAAATGTTTGGTTTTTGTGATATAAAAAAAAAAATAGACTAAAATAAAAAATTTCAAAACTTTTTCCACAGCGGAATTTTATTTTGGGTCAATCAGAGGCACTTGAAATAGTGGCAATTGTGTGCTGGGGTGTGCCACCAATTTATCTCAGTTCATTTTTAATTAATTAATTAATTAATTGAGTTGGACAAATAGGTCACAATATTGTGACCTATTTGTCTTTTTTTTTTTTTTTTTACATCATGACAACATTGAATTTGAGGAGGGGTGTGTAGACTTTTTATAGTCACCTCTGGAGATTACGTTGCATTAATTTGTTTAATTCTGAACGCAGCCACATCCCCAGTTCCAAGAGGGTGTGCACACTTATGCAAACACGGTACCTCACTTGTTTATGTTTATTTCCCCTCTCTTAAAGGAATTCTGTTTTTCATTTTTCAGTGGATTGTACAAGTTATATGTCACGTGACTTTCCTTGGTCTCATTTTCGACAGTATATCCCAAAAATCTGGCATTTGGAAAAGGGTGTGTGGACTTATTATATTGACTGCATGTAACCTGCCCGCTTAGGCCAACCCCAACGCCAAAGTGTCCCCTGCAAATTTCTGCGTCATTCCTCATCACAGGGCCCCCAGGTCGTGGCAGGAACGCGATTTCTGCCGCAGGAAGCGGCCGGAGTCCCCACGTTCGCGTTGGTACCGCGGAACCAGGTTGGACAGAAAGCGCTTGGCTCGTGAGGTGATGCTCTCCCGCTGGCCCCCGGCAATCATGTCCTCCGGGCTAGTGCCCGGGGGCCACGGGGGCTGACCCCGGGCTAGCCGCACGACGCACTCCAGTAGCTCTGGGGTGCGGTGGTCCAGAGAGGCCGAAATCTCCAGATAGAGGCAGTTGAAGAGGGCCGCGCTGGACATGGCCTCTGAGGGGGGGCGGAGCCGCACAAAGAGGAGTTTTTCACGACACGAGCGAGGGAAATTATGTTCAATGAAAACAAATAACATAGAGTGCAATAAATGAAGAATTAAAACAGGATATCGTGATCGTCAGTTCTCCTGCTTTTTACTCCTGTACGTGGTGTAGAACTTGTGTCTTGAACCTGTGCCTTTAAGGGGCGTGGCTTAGACAGTGACAATTATCTGTTTCTGAGAATCTAAGCATGACTAGTGGCCTGCAGCAGATGTTGGAAAGTGTTTTATTTTGTGTTTGTTAGGCCTGTTTAATAAACAGCTGAAAACGCAGCGGAGACTGTGACTCCCCTTTCCCGCTGGTGAGGGCATCACATCACCTGAATTGTTGCATTTTATTCGGCACTCTGTTGCACAAAACATTCATAATGCGGGTCCTGATTAATGTGATGAAACCCCCCCCCCCACTCCCCAGGATAACTGCCACCTTCCACAATAGAAATAAATCATAATAATGGCGGCAAAGCCCTACTTTTCTATTAGACAGTGCTATGGCCTGACCAAATGAAGCTCCTACCGATCACTTCAACACATTTCCTTGGAACCATGATACCACAAGATGGCTCCAAAGCACTATTTTTACATTAGACAGGGCTTTGACCTGACTATTAAAAAAACAGCAAACCGCAAATACGCGAGGTACCGCTGCACTCGTTCGTCTGACCTTGAGAGGTGACTTCTCGGGAGCGGACCAGGTCGCTTTTGTTGCCCACCAGGATGATGGGAGTCTGCGGCTGGGTCTCTCGCAGGAGGAGGCGAAGCTGCGCCGTGCGGTGGAAACTGCGCCGATCGGTCACCGAGAACACCAACACGCACGCTTCGCAGCGCAACGCCGACAGGTCCTGACAACACACACACACATAAATGCATTGGATCTTCTGGAGGTGAGGAATGAATCCCACAATCGAATATGGTTCGTGCTGTTAGTGCCGCACTCCCACTGGAATTCGACACCTTCATACAGTCATTTCGCACATCTGTGGGCAGCCCGGACACACACACACACACACACACACACACACACACACACACACACACACACACACACACACACACACGCACACACGCGCGCGCACACACTTGAGTCATGCCTGAGGGAAAAGAGAACACGCAAAACAAATGGATAATGAGCACAGTGGGTCGTCACGACGCGACCATTGTTTTGATCCGTGCAGGAGAAGTGCAACAAACGATGCGAATGCATATCCACACACACACAATTATGTCTTGTCCTCCCCTGCTCGCATGCACAATTGTGGTCCTTGTTTGGGACTCTGATTTGCGGCTGTTGAGACATTTGACGATATTTTTCATCAGGATTCACTTGATCGATCGATAACAACATATTTTAAACAGAGATGGCTTGATATATTTAGATCATTTAAAATAACTATACAATTCAAAAATGAATATTGAAAAAAATAATTGAAAATGAAAATGAAAAATGCATTTTGTTTTTCAAACGTACTTTGTAAAATAAATATTCTGTTTTTAAATATTACATTTTTTTTGTCTTTTAAGTCGAGAAAAAAACGAAATTCTCTCATATTGAAGTTTTTTCTATTATTTTGTTTAAATGGAGGAAATTTCATCTTTAATTATAAGATACAATAATAACTAAACCATTTTTAATTGTTGTATGTATTGTTTTATTATGTTATTTTGAATAAAACCTAATAAATAAAATACATCTTTCATTTTTTTTCAATCAAAAAACATCTCAAATGTACATAAATGTCATTCGCATTTTTTCAAAATTAAAAAAACATATATATTTATGTATTTATTTTTCTTTTTTTTACATTCAGATATTTGGCTTTTTTGGTTTGAATATTTAGACTCTTCATTTATTTTGATTTTTAAAATATTATTTAGATTCGATCATTTGTAATATGTGTTTAAAAATAGAGATAATAAACACGAAAGTGTAGAAAAACACATTTCGTTCAATTTGATTTCAAGAAAATATTTCCAAATGTTTCGATTATTTGAAAATCATTTCGGTTTTTAGTACGCCTTATTCTAATGTGGGTCACAGAATTATTCTCATTTAAATTTTTTTTTTCTCCCTAATGTAGAAAAATAAATGTAAAAATATATTTTTGTAATGAAAGAAAAAAATATATATATATTGTATAATACATCAATTTCGCGTCGATATTTATCCTAAACGCAATGACTCGGGATAAGCATGCACGATAAAGAAAAAAAAAAGCGTGGGCGTGTTTGTCTCACGTGTCTCCAGTTGTCATAGATGAAGATGGTGCTCTCCTCGTCGTCCACGGTGACGACGCTCACGTGACCCTCTCCTGACGGCAACGAGAGCACACATTAGTCCTGAGAAGCGCAACGAGCCACCCCCAAGTCAAGCAAAACAAACAACCTTCAGAATCCACCGACGCCGTCCTGTCTCCGTCCCCCGCTAGGGCGAAAGCCAGCGATGACTTCCCCACGCCGTTCTGTCCGAGGAGGGCTATTCTCAGGGGGCCGCCGTCGGGCCTTCCCTCCGCTTCCGCCTCCTCCGCCGCCGCCGATGGTGCCGCGTCATCCGGGGCCGGGCTGAAGCGGATGGGCGGCGAGGCGGACGCTCCGCAGGCGGCTTCCGAGGACCAGTCGCAGTCGTCGTGCACGGCCTCTTCCCGCCTGAGCTGGTGCTTGATGGGCAGCGGGGTGCTGCCTCGGCGGATGGTCGGCGTGCTGGACAGGGTCATGGGGTCACACTGGAAAGCATGTTGAAAGCAAGGAACCGTTTTAGGTCACCTCAGGGGGCGTTCAAACCGTACACGCCTACTCGGTCAGGCTGCGCACGGTGAATTATTTTTGCCAGCCGGTGAGTCAGTACGAGAAGAAGTTGGCAACCTATTAAGAAGGAAACCTATTGTGGAATCATTAAAATACCAATTTATTTCATGTTGTTATCAAAAGGATTCGGAGTGGCGGTGAACTGAACAACAAACAACCATTTGGCTGATACTGGACACTAATTCCACAAAAAGAGCCACCTGTTTATTGCCACCCATTGAAGTTTAAGATAATTGTCACCATGTAGTATATTCAAAATCATTATGCGAGCGAGTAAAAGCAATGGATAAGACAAAAACATTTGCACAGTTTATCTGTACTCGATCCCTCCGTGTATACAGTTAAGAAATCACCAACAAACTTATCGTCTCACAACTCATGCCCGAAAGATCTGTATAATAGAATGAACCAACAGCCGTCACTTCCTGTGGGCGCAAAAAGCAGGATTGAAGAGGATTTCACATTGAATAGTCCTCAGCAAAATTTTATGCTGAACTCGAAATACTTGTTTTTTGCTCTTCTTTCACGTCTAGTGTCAAACATAATAGAGTGGCAACATCTAGGGGCCAACTGTGGAATTACACCCAAAATAAACAACATGTGGCCGAGCAAAACAGGGTTACAGTGGACCCCTGCAAACTTGTGGTTCGACACCCACATATTTGTTCAATTTTTTTTTCAATCTATTTATTTATTTATTTTATTTATTTATCTGTGTGTTTTTTTTGGGGGGGGGAGCGGTTAAAAATATATGCATGAATATTACTGTTTTTATTTTTCCCAAGGCATTCCATTGGAAAATTAATTCTATGCAGATTTTCCCACAAGCTGGCCCCAGATCCCTCTTCCCTATTTAACGTACATAAACATTTATGAAGTACAATGACATACAGTCTTGATTTCCACGTTAAAATATACATTACAAATTTGGTTGTGGTGTTGCTTGGGGAAGGTTGAACAGATGAATTACATTTTCACTCTTTTCATTATATATAGCTATACATAACTATATAATTATAGCTACAACTATAACTACAGTATAACAGATAGATAGATAGATAGATAGATAGATAGATAGATAGATAGATAGATAGATAGATAAACACACACACACACACACACACACACACACACACACACACACACGAGCAGCATTTAATTGACTTGTTTGTTGATCGTTCGTCTACCTTGAGGGGGTCCTCCTCGATCTTGAGTTCGTCTTGGGGCACATCTGTCGGCATCTGCAAGCTGAGACAGACGCTGGATGAAGAAACGGTGGGGGGGTAAAGACACAATCCAACAGCAAGCTCCGCCCCCGCGCCCCAACCCGCCCATCACATACTGCCCCCCCCCCTTCACCCACCCACTGAGCACCTGAGCCCTGCTCACCTGTCACGCGTCTCTCTGCAACTACAACAAGACGATGGTAGATTTCTCTCTCTCTCTCTCTCTCTCTCTCTCTCTCTCTCTCTCTCTCTCTCTCTCTCTCTCTCTCTGAGTTGACCTTTCTGTGTCGGTGCGGGTACGTACCGCTAGAGGGCAGCAAAGTTCAACGTCTCCGTGACGAACAGCCATCTCCATTTTCAAAGGCCGGTCCAGTTCAAAAGCGACCTTTTTTTTACACCGATGTCTCACTTTCTATGCAAATTTGTTATGATATGAACAATCTTTCAATCAATTTCTACATATAGTAGACACTAGCTCCGGTTCGGACCGTCCCCCCCCCCTCCCCGCCTCCCATGTATACCACGGACAGGGACTGTCTATGTAATATGTTAGCGTGCTTGGAGCTCATTGCAATGTTATATGCTTTGCTTCATACTATTTATCTTCTTTTAATATGGTATTGCTGCTGAAATGTTGCAAATGACCCCACTATGGAGCTAATCAAGATTATTTTATATTATTATAGTGTGTGTGTGTGTGTGTGTGTGTGTGTGTGTGTGTGTGTGTGTGTGTGTACTGTTAATATTTATACAGTATATATTACAGCTTCTAAAATGAGTGAAAATAAGAAGCCCCAAAGTGTTCAATGAAATATCCGTGTTTATTTGACGAAACCGTAGCAGGCCAAAGTATTGATCTCATTCTACTGTCAACATGGGTATCGATATGATCAATATATGAATCGCTCTGCACTTCGTTAAAATCCGCGATGTGCACATGCTCCCTATAGTCAGAATGCAACGCGTGGTCGTGTGAGTCACACACGCGTGTGCATGCACGCATTTACACACACACACTCACACACACACACACACACACATACACACACACACACGCACACACTCACAAAGCCACAATAGAGTCCGGCAGTGGGCTGCCAGGACGCTATTATAGGCCTAATCCTGCGCCTATTCTGCGGGCCAGAGAGAGAGCCAGAGAGACACAGAGAGAAGGGAGGCGGCGTTGAAGATGAGGTCATCCCAAACAGCGCATAGCCGGGGTCACTGCCCCCCCCCCCAAGCCACCCCCCCGGATGAAGGGATGGAGGGATGGATGGAAAGAATTGGCTGAGAGGTACGCGTGCACAAGCACTGAATGGAAAGCTACAAAATGACTCCGTGACTAGCCAGAGCGGTGGTGAAAATGCAGGCGGCGCCCCAACGGATGCCGACCGTTTGCGTTCAAATGCGGATTTTGTATTTAATACAGAGTCGTGATTTGAGTTTTGGATGAAGAGGCGGAGTTAAGATTAATCGGGGTTGTTAGCCGAAGTGACTTGACTGTATTGAAGGAAAATAACGACGGTCAACTATTCATTTTTGAAGGCTCATATTGTAAAATGAGTTTGAAATGATATCAGTGTTTGTGTTTTGTATTGTTAATGTAGTCGTTTATAAACATTTTTAGGGCTGTGTCAATTGGTGTCAAATAAAATGTCATGTAAAAAAAAATGAATGTTATCGTGCAACGACATTCGTTCATGCATTATTTCCCCTTTGTCATATTATTCTGACTTTATGATAAAACGACAGGCTTCTAACTTGTCATGCAACATTACAACTGTTATAATATGCCCGATTTAATTGATGTGATGAAAATAACTGTTCTGACTTTATCGTCATCCGATGTTATTTTCACAAAATTAAACATTTTTATTCACCTTCTGTTTCAAGACTTAATACTCATAAAGGTAAAAAAATCACATCAGATGACTTTAATCTCATACTCTGATTTAATTATTTTAATTGTTTTATATATATATATATAT